TCTTTATAAAATTAAAGTAGAATTTAGTTTCAAAAAAACAAATATTAATCTATATTTTTATTTAAAATGATAATAATCGCATACAATTCGTTCTATATCATAATAATTTTTTCTGAATTATATTGTATGATAGTTTTGATAGATAAATGAATTTTATTGATTGATAATGATACTGTTTTTACTACAAATTGATTGATAATTTAATTTAATTTTACAATGATTGTTTTTTACTTTATATATGCAATATGAATTTAAATTGAAGATCGTCAAAAAATGTTTGATTTAATATATAACATGTAGAAATGTAATAAAAATACAAAATAAAAAAATATATTTATAATTTAATTCACACAATATTTCATAGTTTTAAAATATTTAATAATTTGTGATGAGGGTTCAACTAACCCTCAGCCCCCCAGCCCAGGCTAGCCGTGACCCTGCCTGATGAGCCCAGTCTAGCCGTGGCCCTGACTGGCTCGTGCCCCGGGGGACCCACCGACTCGAATGAGTCCCACAGTGGACTCATGGCCTTTCACACTGCTCAAGTGTAGTTTTTGCCCTCCCCAACATTCGAACCTGTGACCCTAAGCATAAGGTCACCAAGCATGCAATGCTGGTACCATCTCACCAACTGGCATAAGTAAACATAAATAAATTGGCATACAAAACTATGAACTACCAAAAGTCAGAGGCTTAGCTTTAAAAAAAACTCTACATTTTGCAATTATGTGCTATATAACTTTAAAAACAAAATGCAACTAAACCAATGTATTAATTTGGTATGTCTTTTACTTTAACTAGGGCTGCAAACAAGCCGAGCCGAGTCGAGCATTGATCTTATCGAGTAGGATTGATTTTTTTTTTAGTTGCTCGAGCTCTAGCTCGTCGAGCTAGATTTATGATGCTCGAGCTCGACTCGATAAGAAAATACAATTGCTCGAGCTCGGCTCGAGTTCGTCTTGAAAATTTTTAAGTGAAATTACCATTAAGCACTTGCGTTATATTATTTAAATATATATAAGAGGTATTTTAATAATTTCATATATATCGAGCCCCTCGACAATGCAAAATGTCGGCTCGAGCTCGACTCGAGTTCTGTCAAACTCGAGTTCGAGTCGAGCTTTGACTCGGGTGCTTGCGATCGGCTCGTGAGCCGCTCGACTCGTTCGCAACCCTAATTTTAACAGAAGAAATTAAGGAAGTACATAGATAAACAATAATGAATGTTGTTTGACCTATATAACATTAGGTTAGCAAAATTGATATACATAGCTTGTTTGTATAGTGTATTTGTAGTATAACTGTAACTGTATGAGAGTTTTGTTCTATTTATAGAACCCCTCTCTTTTTCTATAGTATGGAAACCTAATTAATTCTATTATTCTAGTACATGTACATCAACTTTTTACTTGGAGCTAATTATAGCATTTTTTTTCATAAATGGTATATTTTTTACGATAAAAGGGCAATTAATAACACACCAGAAAATTACTATATTTCAACAATAATTCAATAAAAAATTATTGCAACAAAATATTAATATTATTGAGCGGAAAAACAAAACAAGGTGGGAACAAGGTGGGCCGGTTATAATTTTCGTTAAAAATTTAAATATTCCAATGAAAATAAATCCTAAAAGATTCTATTGAATGGAATTTTTATTTGAATTTCAGTTTAAAATGAATCATATTATTATAATTTTTTTTCTTCTAAAAATTAAAAAATCGCATCATAATTCAAAAGAACATTAATTTCAACGGAATGGTGACTTGCAACTTATTAGTAATAATATATATCTCCCTTCTCCCTTCTATATAATTATCGAATATGTTAAAAATATAGTGACAGTCTCGCATGTTTTGGAATCTTATGTGTCAGGGTGAATAGATTTTAATTTACTCCTCATCTAAAGTAATTAGGTTTGAATTATCTATAAATAATATGTTGATTATTTATGATCATCTTAGAACATCCACAATGCTTTGAGTTCAATCCTAAGAAATTATATGTCACTTAAGAAATAGACTCCGTTTAAAAAAATATATTATCCAATGCAAATTAAAATAGGATCTTGCTGATGTGGCAGCTAGAAAAAGAAACTCAGTATCCCCTAAGTCTATTTTAGTCCATTTGCATTGAAGTTAATTTTGTTAATATCATCCAATACTTGGATTTATTAATTGTATTTTAATATCATTCATATTATAACCATTGAATTGTATATGTACTTTAAAAGTTAATATCTTTTGTAATTTTTATCAATTTTACATATATAATGTATCAAATTAATCATCTTTTGACGAGTTTCGATTTGACATCCATATTAATATTTATAAAATAAATGCTTTTAAATTTATCTTTTTAATAATAAAAAATGATTTATTAATATTAATTATAAAATAAAATTATTTATCAATTAATATATCTATGTTTAAAGTAATTATATGATATAAGTTACAAAAATTGTCATAATATAACATAAGAGTGTTATTTTAAAATATATAATAATATGTATTTTTTGTAGACAAATATTTAAATTTTAAACAATTTGAGATTTAGGATAGTACGGCAAGTTTCCAGGAAATTGATTGTGTGGTGTAGGCACCAATCAGCGATGAGCGGCCGATCATGACTTGAAGTTGGGGAGACATTGACTTTATTTTACTTTCATTTACTTTTTTTTTTTTTTTTTTAATAAAT